GGGGGGAAGTACTAAATGAGTTTAATTTTTTTTTTTCCTTTTTAAGCCTGTTTTATTTTGATGTTCAATATAATTTTGTGCATAGTCACTGGGTTGTGTCCTGTTAAAATTTCACGCCTGTGTTTGGGCCGTTCAGGACTAATGCTGCAAGTAGAGGCTAGCAGAGAAACTGCCTGCAGCACGAAGAGCAGCGTTGGCTTACCACGGCCGGGGAGATGAGCCATCGACTTCCAAAGACTCTCTGAAAACAACGTACAGACATTTGCTTTTAAATTAAAAAAGCAGCAGAATGTGTTTAAAAATTGAATGTGAAGTTGTCAGAACGATGTTTTGGGGTTGAATAAGCTTCTCTTTAAAACTATGACAGGCACAAATGCAGGTTTTTTAACTGAGTATTTATGTTCCGCATCAGTTTCCCTTAACACAATAGTTCGTGACAGACTGGAGCCCAATTCCAGTTTGATGCACAGGGCGACTTCCACATTGCTAGATGTCGATGACCTCAGGACTCAGCAAGAAACAGGGCAACAGACATTCAGGGAAGCTATCAAGCTGGTGAAGTTTTTTATTAAATGTAGAGCGTTATATTTTAGAAGTGAGAAAACAGATGGCACCAAAATCAGCTGCGATGTAACCAGACACAATTCCCATTCCGCAGGGATGCTCTATCTACTTACAGCAAAGCTGAATTTGCAAAACAAAGTTACTATTGTGGCAATAAAGCTCTCACGCCACGCTGAGCTTGCACAAAGACAGGCTGCCAGCCGGCATTTACTTGGTGTCATCGGGAGAAGCGTAGAAGAACGAGCAAGCGCGCAGCAGGTGGCAGCTCCTCCTGCCTGGCTGCCCCGGCGAGGGAAGCAGGCTCGGGCCCTGCTGCATCCCCGTGCAAGAGAGACTGGGGCACAGGCTTGGAAACGCATTCTGCTTCTTCGGCCATCATATTTTGCAGCGTTGCCATGAGGTACACGCTCACTTCCAGCGGGCAGCGCCCCCCCGAGCCCCGGTCAGGTGAGGGGTGCAGTCTTCCCTACAGATACGGCTGTACACGCCTCCATCCCAAACCTGATCCTTGCTCCCACAGGCAACGCGCCGTCCTGCTGGCACTGCCCGAGATGGCCATCAGCGCAGAGAGGGGGGTCTCACCAGGAGCGTTTCTCTGCTGGCAGGAGGCATTTCTCGTCTCCTCGGGGTCACGCTTTAGCGGAGAGCCTGCGGGCGGCACTCCCTCGCGTCCTGGGCTGGTGCTTCTGCTGCTGCCTTGCTGTGCCCGTCTCTCCCGAGCTTGTCGCGGCAGGTGTTGCGTGGCTACAGAAATGCTCGGATCCCGCTGGCGGTGGCCGGTACCTTCCGCTGGCCCCCTCAGACGCGGGAGGAACGATGCCGGTACCTGCTCTGTAACAGAGATTGTCCCACGAGTTCCTCGAGTGGCACGGTCAGGCAGCGGGGGCTCCTCGGGATGCGGCCGTGGTGCAGACACGGATGAGCACTCTCTCCACGCCCGAACCCGAATGTCCAGCGTATTCCTTCCATGTGAATACGGAAGTCAAAGGCCAGGCTCTCTGCCCCCCCCGCCCCGTGCAGGAGGCTGCATTCACAAGAAAGCAAAAATAAGTGAACAAAGGGGCTGCAGGAGCCCCGGTCAGCGAGGGCACGGCAGCCTGACCTGACAGACGCGGGTGTTTAAACCACCCTGTTTTTACTGAGTCGAGGTTTGACGTCCGCTCTCCGGTAACTAAAAGAGGTGGAAAGGAAGCCCCAAATGGAAAATTACCGCTGAATAAACTGTGTTTAGTCAATACTACCTGTAACGCTATCAAGAGGTACTCATAAGCTAGGCACTGAGGTGAAGGTGGGGGAGTAGCCCGAAAGCCACTGCCGGCCAAAAGCTGCCAAGCTCGACCACGTGCAAAATCGCTGCTTTTCCGGGTCCTGCGGGTCCCCCTCACGGGAGGGAGTGAGACCCCTGCCCAGCGCATCCAAACAGGTGGGAAACGCTCGCTTTTGAGCAGACCCTCATCTGGTGAAGATCTCAGCCCTGCCCAGCTCTACTGCAGGAGAACTTTCCCGGCAAGTCTCCCTCTCCTCAGCCCACGCTGGGCTCTTCCGCTGAGGGGAAAGCCTGCCCCGTGCTAACGCTGCCCGACCCAGCCAGGAGGCCAAGACAAAACCCTTTCTCTGCAGTCAGGATAAACCTGGCAAACAAGACAAATTTTAGATGGAGCTGAACCCAAGTGATTCTCCAAGAGCAGTTTTACTTAAGCTTGAAGTAATTTTAGTTGGCAGCCCACTTACGTAGCTTGATACTAAAATTCTTCTCAACTGTATTTTTATCTATTTCTGAAGAATACCAAGTAGCACAGCATACACAGCGGAGCAATAGATGAAAAAATCGCAGATCACATCTCAAAATCGTAGTCAAAATCTTTTTGCTTTTATTCTATGTAATGCTTAATATCTGGGAAAATACAATAAATAATTTTTCAGTTTAGAACAATTAGATGTTATGCTTAATAATAAAATGTTCAAAGAGGATGTAAAAATAAATTAATATCTTACTATTTAACTTCAATGACAAAGCAGGTCTCAGTTTCAGACAACCGAGAAATTTTCAGCCATGAAAGACAAATGAACGTGTTCTGCCCTTCCGTAAACACGCGGCTATCATTGAAACCAATGGAAGATATATATATATACACACACACACACACACGTATGTACATATGTGCCTGCATCAGATGGCAGAATTTGGCCTAGATCTTACAAAACGGTAGTTGACATTCATGTGTGTTTATTTTTTTAACAAGTAGAACTGCAGAACGTTCCTCTATCATACATTTTCCACATCCTGCAACTGCAACTTATATGAAAACATTAGCATATAAAAAGTCATCACTGTACAACCACTTTTTTGTTTTAAAAGTCAGTGTCAAAACCATAAAAACAGCTAATTCATTAAAACCAGATAGATCGTTTAAGTGCTGAGGTTTGTGTTAGCTTTCTTCTGTTTTAAGCACAGGAGTCTATTAAAACATAAAAGGCAGAAGTGGCTCAGAAAATGACGAACTCTCTAACAACATCCTTGTAGCTTTACTAACACTTATCTGACACTATAGTTAACTGGAGAACAACGTAAACACCATGAGGTACAGATACCGACGGACAGTCCTCACAACTGTGCAAACCGTGGGCCTCCTCCTGCAAACACCACTGGCCCCAGAGCTTCTCCCAGGGCCGGCCCCACCGAGTCCGACTGCAACGCCCCGCAGCAGCCCCTGCCGCTGCCGTTTGCAGGAAGGGGTCCCGTCACCCCCACGTCATGCACCGAATACATTTAAAGTGCCTCAGATTTCAAACTGATGCAAATCTACATTTCATTCCTTCAGACTTGGAAAGGTGAAACAGCTTCTGGAAAGTCTTATATAAATACTCCTTTAAAACTATTAGAGGTTTCCTATTTCAAGGTAAATCTAATAAAATATTGAACCGCTTTTAAATTAGGCAAATGGTGTTTGCTCTGCTTTTTGTAAAAAAGCCACTATATTCCTTTGCTGTAAGGTACTCTATACGTCTCCAGTCACTCGCCCCTTTATTTTACAGACAGGAAGAGGCAGAGCTATCACCATTTTGTTGGTGCAATCACCTGTGGAGTTCTGAAACAGCCCTATGGATTTTTTGTGATGACGCTGAATCTGAAGTTCATCCCTTTTCACAAGTCCTTTCCCCAGTTCATTTTATTCTGCTTCTTCGCTCTTCTCAGAACCACCTCCAGCTGAACTATCTGCCTCATACTTTTTATCAAGAGCATCTTCAAAGGATTTCCCGCTGCAGTCATAGGTTTTACTTGTAGATGCCGTATGCGTTCGAATGCGAGCTCCTGGCTGGTATAACTGCATGGCTGGGCGGTCCTAGAAGGAAGGAGATGCGGTTAACGCTCTGAGAAACCCGTGTGGGACACACACGTGGGATTTTAAAGTGATGAATGTTTGTGAAGAAAGTAGATTTTGTGTTAAATCACTGTACATTTCGTAAGACCCAGGAAAAAAATGGAGTGTAATGAAAATTGACTATTTAACATCTGTCTTGTTTACAACACTATTCTTGGGAGCCAAGCATTCTGAATAAATGAAGAAAGCTGTAAAAATTAAAGATCCTATGATACATTTGATGTAAACAAGGAGAAATACTGCAGAGAATTGTCGAACACATTGTAATAGGTAAAACTCTGAAATACGTCGCTACCTTCGCTAACATCAACTGGGAAGAACGATAGCCTGTGCACTTGCAACTCTGCAGATAAATGACAAATATTAAATATAACCATAAAAAAGTAAGACAAACCAGGGAACAGTTTAGCAGGCAACAGCTAGAAAACTGTCCTCAGCTGAACTTGACCAACTGATATGCGTGCACTGCTACTACAAGTCATGAATCATTACCACGATTTAAACATGGAACGCACATGTTCATAATACACCTCAAAATAAAATTGCAGTTATTGCTCTGCTTCATCATGCCCTCCATACCGAGTGTGAGAGCAGGGGAATTCACCCGCTGATAATAAACAACGTAAGTACAACCGGAACGTGCGCAGGCTTTGTGAGTGACTCAATCATACACATGCTGATTTCATCACTGGCAAATGGAAGAAGGAGCCAGCTTACAAGGAAAAGACCCCTCAAACGTGCAAATGGTGATGTTCCATAGCTCCTGAGAGCACTTTTTATTCTTGAAATCTCAATAAAAAACCATACTGCTTAGAAACTCTGCTTAAGAAGTCTCTTCCTAGTAAGAGTATTTTACTCTCACAAATGCCAGTTTTTAATGTTATCAAGCAACCCATTCACCAAAGCCTGAGCTTTTCGACCAAAGCCTTGTGTTAAGTTTAGCAAACAAAATCAAACAGCCTATTTTAAGACAGTGGCAGAGCACTGAAATTTTCCTACATCAAACTACATTAATTTTCAATTGCCTTCATAATTTGAAGTCACTCTGGTCTTGTGTTCTTTCATTCTTTTTTCTTATTCCCAATATGCATTTTCCCTTTTTCTTTCTTTTTCCTTCACCTTTGTCTTCTTTGCTCCACTTTTCTCTCTCTCTCTTCAGACCAGATATCAAGATTCACTACTGGGCCATACAACTAGATCATTCTAGTTAGTGCTTTGTAGCGTGGTATGAAAATGCGCAACGTACATCCTTCTACATCACAAACAGCTGCATAAAACTAGATCCTCTGACAAGCGGCGCCCGTTGGAAAGTTTATGATAAAGGGTCCAAACAATTTTTCGTATCACAGACTCTGGTACCTCGCAGTTTGCATGAAAGCTAGCACAACTGTTACTTACACCAGAAATTTCCCATTTTCTAATTAATTCTTACAAACTTCAGAAAGAAGCTCAATCTCTGCCTAAAAACTTGTGTTAGCATTGTTAATTCTACAGGTGAGTTGGAAAACTCAGGCCCTAACTCTTCATAAATACTGTATCACTTACGTGATAAATACTGTAAGGAAAAAAAGTCACCAGGCTGCAAAAAACACTTTACTGATATTGCTTATTTTGTTTAGGGAACAAATCTAGCACCTGAAGCGTGGACTGATCCAGAGACTCAGCAAGCTACCAGACGTGCGACGGGAAGAAATAAAGCAGAGGCGGCTTCTTAAGCCTTGACAAAAGGTCCCCAAGACCCACCATCCAGTTCCGAGGTTGCAGATACTTCACCAGATTTCAAGAGTAGCATGGCGAGCATGAAGAAAACTGCTTTTCCCACCTTCCTGCTTCTGAACTAGCCATTTTTCTGACTGTTCTACAGCCTGAGCCACTGGTGTAGGTAGGAAGTGGCTAACGTGCATACGCAGACAAACCTCACCTATACTGCCCAGCTGACCTTTGCATAAACAAAAAGCGGGGCACGCCAGGCCTTCTGTGTTTGCGCAAGGTGACTTAGTCGACACGCAGAGCGAGCCCACCTGGGCTTGCTCCATGCACACTCCACACAGACTCACTCTGCACGTGACCCGTATGCTCCTCCTCAGCCTTAGCCCACATCACCGATCAGTCACTTGGTTCGAAAGTAGAGTTCCACGTGCAGAACACATTTCTACACAAAATAGTGTTTCGGTCACCTTTTGTGGAAAATCTAGGATCACAAGGGAGAGAGGATGAGGGTGGCAAGGAAAGCCACCTCCTGAAAAGACCCTGGCACATCCATGAAATCAGACAGTCTGAGAAAAATTATGCCCGTGTCTCCGGGAGACAAATAAGGGACGGCTCTTCTACACACCCTGCCACAGGCCCCGCTTGCACTGGTTTTGCACCTGCCCTTTCTCTGACAACGACCACGAGGATAACTTCTCCTAACCAAAGGACAGCCTTCTCGTACTGGCGGGTATACCATACTGAAGAATTAGCACGGTCACACCCTCTAAATACAATGGTCTCTGAATTAGCTATTTATTTAAGTCCTTATATTTCCCCTACTGAGCAATGCCTGGCCAATCCGTAACATAATTTTATGAGCTGGGTAATGGAAGTACATTTTTAAAAGACTAGTATGGCACAGTTCTTGAATTTCACTACAGGTCAGAAGTACAACAATTTTTAATACACGCATAAAATACGAGGCTTCCAAGAATAGCGTTCTAAAAATGCTAGGGTTGAAAGGAAGGCAGAAAGTCTTCTATATATTGTAAACATGAACGAGCAGAGACCTGTGACCTTAACTTATTTTAACTGCTGTTGTCCTCTGATACCAATAAAAAGAAGTCTGGGTTTTACTGAAAATGAAATAAAGAATTGCTTTTTTTGAAAAAGCATCTTTATGCTGAGTTTGCAAAAGTGAAACCTGTGATCTTGAAGCATATTTAACTAATGAAAGATTATCCTAAATGAATAAAAGAACCTTATTTCTTATGCGCTCCTTTTTGGATGCCATGTCATCACACTTGTCCTCTTTACCCAGTTTGTCTACTGCCTCCACAGTGAAGCTGTAGTTGTAGTTCCCTTTCTTTCCTCTGTCTTGGTTGTATCCTTTCCCCCACTTCAGCTCTTCTTCATTCCTTCTCACAAACTTGTCAAACTCATAGTAAGCTCTATGCTTTCTGCCATCATCCAATCGATACCTTTGTCTTTCAGGTTCTTTTTCTCGAAATCTTCTCTCCAAATCTCTTTGCTCTTTGTCACTATCATTTTGTGACCTACGAGTATGTATAAAAAGAAAGAAAATCCAAGCAATTAACAGTAAAAAGAAAGCTGCTGAAGGATACAATACAAAGCCTTCCTTTGACTTCAACGGTATTCAAATCAATTGTGCGGCAAGGCTGTTTTCTTCTCATTAAAAAGGGGTTATGTGCAATTTTGCTGAATGTCTCATCCATGTATGTCTGGCCCTTGACTATGCATTCAGTTCAAAATAGCAGACAAAGCTTTGCAAGCAAAATCTGACTTTTGTGCAACTCTGTGGAAGGCCCGTTCTTCAACTTTTATCCCTCTTTGCAATCCCATAAATAGCTCCCCAATACTCTTCACATAAACACATGCTGCGTGATTAGCTCTTGTGGCCCGTTCTTGAGGCGACTCGTGTATAGGAGTAGTCCCTTGAACGGGAACATTCAGGGCCCGAAGGAATTGCGCAGGTATCCTGTACCAATTTGTAAAGTTTTATGACTCTATTTAACAAAAATTATTCACTGACATTGCAACTTGCAGAAGGCATTTGTGAAAACAAATACTTGTGTTCCAGGCTTTTGTTTATTATGTCTCCAAGTAATTTAGCCTACCTTTGCATATTCTATTTAGGCGAAAGATCACTACCTTACCACAACACAATACTTAATTTCTGCTATGCTGCAACAGGTTTATATCATAAAGACTATTAGTTTGCAACATTTTGCTGCCTGTCTGATACAATTCTCAGCTCTCTTATTCGCTTCATTGTTCCTGTTCAGCAAGCGGGTGCTTCTCTCATACAGCCAAACTGCAAATAATGAAGAAAGATTACAGAATAGATTGAACTTTAAAAGGAGCAAATACAGGCAGTTTCTTTTTATATATTACATATGTATAAATACTTAAAATTGAAACAGGAAAGTTGCTTTTGACAGTCTGCTCACATTTTGGGAATCAGCAGACAGAATCAGAGGATGGAGATTTTCTAATGGTGTAGCGATCAAATAGTGATATGCTTCTCATTTAGAATGGTTTAATATCAATAAAAGTGTATCTTTCTATATAATTTTTTTTTTTTTAAATAACAGAACTGTGAAAATTGTCAGTCTCTGCCATGAACTTGGGCACTGGCGGGGCTGCCAAGACAGGGGCCCCATCTCAGGAAGAGCTGGAGGTCAGCAACAAAACCTGAATGACAGGTAAGTTATTCAGCATTTCACAAGACTGTGCTTGTGTCAGCATAACACATTCACCAAGTGGAAGCAACGTCCCAGCTGTCACAGATACCTGAATCAATCACAATTACAGAGATACTGTACCTGTAGCACAGATAGATATATATAAAACACTATGTTAGCTCTCAAGGGGTATGTGGCTAGAAGCTGTCTTGTTTCGTGTTTAATTTGCTATTCTAGGCACTAATTCAAGTCCTAGCAAGGCTCAGAGCATGACCTTCCAAAAAGCCAGAAAGACGCATCTCGACTTGTTGCCGTAGCATTGCCCGGTACCTGTCTCTTCCCCTGCTTATTACTGTGGGTGAGGAAGGAATGGATGTGCCTGGAGGTCGGCAGGTGACAGGGATACAAACTCCAGCTCAAGAGTGGTTAAAGTAGCTTTCTAAACTTCAGTCACAGCGAACAGGCAGGCAAGAGCAGAAATGGCGGGGTAAGCAATTACAAAGTACAGGTAGAAGAGAAAGTTACACAGCTAGAGAAAGAGAAAGCAGAAGTGAATGGAAGTAAAGGCAATGGAAGCGTACTTCTGTTTGGTATAGTTTCAAATCCGTATGTGACCACGTACACTCATCCACCTACTGAGGTTTGAGTTTGTGGTAGAAAGCTATTGCTACTGAGCCTTTAAACATGGTTTCGAACAGGCAATTCAGTCTCCTGCATGTAGAGTTGGAACTTACAGTTTATTACTGATTTCTGAGTCAGTGACAAAGTAGTTACAACTTTAATTCTGAAGCTGAAATAGCTCATAGCTCGCTACTTAATCACACCCACTAATAATCATGATGAAGCAAGCACTTGGAAAGACAAGGTAACACTTACTGTACCTGCACAGCCAAAAGGATTCTGTTTTACACCTGGAAAATCTACATTAATGAATTAACTTATTAAACTTACAGGACTAATAGTAAAAATGTTATATGGCACCACCAAAAGCTTAATACATAAAAAGCCTTATTAGCAAACAAGTGACTTGCCCCTGCAAGTGTTTCTGTTGACCCTGTGCTGAATATTTTCAATTTCCGTTAGAGAATAGGAAATGGAAGTTGTCAGCATCTTTCAGGACATACTCAACATAGTGAAACACTGGGCCCATGTTTGAAGTCCTTAGTCAGAGACAAAAAAAGATGAATAATGCATGTAGGATATTATTAGTGAACCATTTCTCCAATTAGCAAATCCAGTGGTTTTATTTTCCAGTGTTCAAAGTTTCTTTATTTTTCTATTTGCCATTAGGAGAACATTTACAGCTCCTGCATACTTTTCATAAAAATCAAGAACCTAAGTGGACAAAGGTAAAATTTAAACTACTCAGAACAGGCAGGTAGCCTGCAAGGCTCCTAGAGCACAATCCCAAACTTCCTCTAATACTGTGTATATAATTGTGCTGGTTGTGGCTGGGATAGACCTAATTTTCTTCATAGTAGCTAGTATGGGGCTGTGTTTTGGATTTGTGCTGGAAACAGTGTTGATAACACAGGGATGTTTTCGTTACTGCTGAGCAGGGCTTACACAGAGTCAAGGCCTCTTCTGCTCCTCACCACACCCCACCAGCGAGTGGGCTGGGGGTGCACAAGGAGTTGGGAGGGGACACAGCCGGGACAGCTGACCCCAGCTGACCAAAGGGATATTCCATGCCATATGATGTCATGCTCAGCATATAAACAAGGGGGAAAGCTGGCCGGGGGGCCGCTGCTCAGGGACAGGCTGGGCATCGGTTGGTGGGTGGTGAGCAATTGTTTTCATTTGCATCACTTGCCTTTCTTGGGTTTTATTTCTCTTTGTTATTTTCCTTTTCATTACAATTTATTATTGTTGTTGTTTTTGTTGTTATTATTTTATTTCAATCATTAAACTGTTCTTATCTCAACCCACAAGTTTTCTCACTTTTACTCTTCCAATTCCCTCCCCCATCCCACCATGGGGGAGTGACTGAGCGGCTGGGTGGTGCCTAGTTGCCGGCTGGGGTTAAACCACGACAATAAGACCTTAGGTAAATTATTTAAATGCTCAAGCTTGTCCTTATGTACAAGTTGCACATACACATGACATCTCAGATTCAGCTCTTTCATTTTGCAAAGTACTTTTGAGAGCTTGGCTGAAAAACTCTACTGAAGAATAAAGTATTCTTTACCTCAGCAGCATATCATTCTTAGTTGTGTATCTTACATATCTTATGGGTGAATCCTGCCTGCGATGGGACACGTGCCAAAAGACAAGAGAGAGAACCAGCTGCTGAAAACATCTGTAAGACATTTCCAGGCTACAGTAGTTACAGAACTGGGCTATACTTCTTGTTCCTACTATTACATATGCAACACAAAAGGCAGTGGGGGACAGAGACAGCCTTCTGCATGTATCTATCATAAGGCTGTCATTCACACCTTAACTACGTTGTCCCATTTATTAAACACATTTATCTGTTTATTCCAGCAAAAATGAAGAAAGTGTGATGGAAGAGTAAGGTATCTGAGGCAATTTAGTCTTTGACATCAGTAATGGAAAGAGGGCCTTACCTGAGCTCTTGATGGGGAGCAGGTGAAATAACAATGAAACTCTGAGTGACTTTTCACGCAGAAATCCTTCCAATCTGGGATTTCAAAACATTTCCCAAATAACAAATTGCATCCACTAATACTGCCATCAGGTCAGTAAGCTGTTACTAAACACCTTTTACAAAAAGGACAGTGAGAGATTTGTTCAACGCAGAATTAAATCAGTTCCTTGCTGACAAAACACCCAGCCAACGCACCACTTACATCATCTTTAAGCCTTCAAATGAAAACATTTAGGATCTAATTTGGAGCCTAAAAGATAAATATTACTTACTTTTCCTTAAGTTCTTTTAGTGAACCCTCCAATGATTTGGATTTTATACTCCCAGATCCAGGTGATTTATCCCATTTGCTTTCTTCAGTGTCAGCTTCTTCACCTTTTTCTTTGTGCTTTTCATTGGCCAGCTCATCTCCTTTTTCAGGCTTCTTAAGAAGCTAAGAAATATTTGTTTATATTATGATGTAAAATTATTTTCCTCCGTTGTAACAGACATTTTAACAATGTATTGAATATATCAAAAACCTATTAAGATTGAAGATATTTAAATGCTAGGAATATATTTTACAAAGTATAAAATTTAAAAAGTTACTTAAAGAAGGCAGTTTACTTTTGCTAAGGAGTGACAATCATTAACAGGCATTCAACCGCACACTTTTAAATATGCTGAGAATACTGGAGAAAGCACTTACTTACTCTTCTCTCCTAAGTTTTATATATAAAGATATTATTATGGTCTACGATTTCTTAGAAATCATGTAACAGAGCTCAATGTTATTGCCAATAAAATAAAAAGCAGAACCTCTGAGACAAAAGGAGCAAGACTAGTACTTCACTCCATGAAATATTATATATAAAATGTGTTATACATGAACTACTTGGGACAGACTGGCATATAGAAGTAGGTGCTTAGTATAAATACACCCTGACAGAAAAACAGAAAGAGGAAAAAATTACGACGTTAGCAGAAAAGATCACACTGCGTTTTCACCTTGGAGATTAAGACTTCCAATAAGTCTGTTCCTTTCACAACAAATAACCTACACAGGGCCTGAGCAGTGTCTAGCATTACAGGAATAATCTTTATAGATGGACCAACTGTCTCAAACTATTTCTCTAACATTTGAAGAATAAGCAGAACATCTCATCAGTCTTTTCATTCCACCAGTTTTCCTGAAATGAGCACAGGTTATTCTTCTCCAATATTTAAAACTATAATGTCTCCTCAGGTAATATCTTCCTTTTCTCTAGGAAACAGAACTAGCTTTCAAGGACACGTTGCCACAGATAGGTCATAAATACTGGGGTCTTTTGGACAACCAGGTTTGGGTAATACATTTTAAAGGATAACTCCCTTTTCTTCCAAAGTTCTAGTATGCTTTTCTTTATGCTTAAATATGAAAAATCTGTAATTCGGCTTCAGAACTGACTATTTTTTACATCCAGGTGAAGGCAACTGTTGTCCAGGAAGAAAAGGAAGAGGAAAGAAGTACACAGCTCTGTGGCTTCTCCCTACCACAAGATCTGGAGTGAGTCTGTGTGCCCTTGCGTTACGCTACAGACTTATACCAATTTTCCTCTTCAAAACAGCCTTTAAAACCTTTCCAACACCACAAAATTTAGTTCAGATGAATAGTTTTTAACTATGTTACCTATACATCTATCTTACACGAGTAAGGTTTTAAATGCCCAGACATAATAGCACAAAATAAACCTGCCTAAGTGAGGTCATTAAAAGCACATCTATTCAGATTGTTATAAGGCAGTGCAGCCTGAAATTAGCAAGACCTTGTTGTAACTTGGTTAAAGCATACTATTAAAATAAATCAGTTCTGAGCATAAACACAAAAAAATCGCAGCACGTATGGCTAGATGAAGATTTACATGACAGAAAGTGTTAAAGCCATATTTGCAATAATCTTCCAACATGTTAGCACAGAACAATTTGGTTCTGTCAGGTTGTGTCGGCATAGAATGTGGCAGTGTTGTATGAAGATATCCGAGTTACCTGCCATAACTGCATCAGCACATCATTGTACCTAAGGTAATTAGTCACAGTTTTCAGCAGCACTACTTAGTCAAAGCCCTACATTACTTCCCTTTCCAGTCAAAACGGGCCTGGTATCTCCACACTGTACTGTAGTACACTGCATAAACAGCGTGAGATACCAAAGGAGCTTCTGGATAACTTCAACAGAAAAACAGGGGTTTTTTTCATTAAGGTACCTTGATCCTTATTTCTTTTTCAGAAATCTTCCTTTGCTTCTCCACTTCTTTTCTTTTACGTCTTTCTTCTTCTCTGCGCTTCCTTTTCTCTTCCTCCCGCAGACGCTTCTTCTCCAATTCTCTTCGCCTTCGTTCTTCTCTTTTCTCTTCTCGTATTCTCTGAAGAGTTCAAAATGATTAATTGTAAATTGTCCAACGGAAAACCATGTGAAACATAAATGTTGAACTTCAGGCAAAAGTCTGAACGTACCTGCTTTTCTAATTTTCTATTTTTAATATATTCCAAAAGGGGTGTTGTTCTTCTAGCTAAAACACAAAAAATTTGTGATATAGTGTTCAACTCCTAAAAGATGTACTCATTTCTTTACTTCAGTACTAACCCCTTTTTTTCTACCTTTATCTGCAAGGGAGCTAAATAATTAATAAACCTATTTATTTTATATATTTTTGAAGGCATTCCCATCATTCCATTTTAGAAACACTCTGTTGGTTTTTTGCTGTTAGGGTTAGAAGCAACAGAGCTACGTTGCATGATTATTTAATGTTTAATTAAAAGTTGTATCTTTTCAGCTCAGAGAATGGCTTTTTTCTCTTGCTCATCGAACAGTTATTTACCAAAAAGGAAAGAAATCTGTTCAGCATCTATTCCTACATTTTAATTTTGTACATCAAAACCTAGCTATATTGCTGTTCATATACAGCCCACATTACTGTAAACTCACACAGCACCTTTCAATCCCAGATTTCAAAGTACATAATGAAGGAAACATTTTCATTCTCGTATAACATTTCCATTTAACTACTATTTAGCATTCACCTCTCCATGGGAAAACGGGATGAGTAGGAGACAAGTGGTTTGTCCCAGGTTACACAGCAAAGTATCAGCAGATTCAATAAAACTCTGACTTCCCAAATAACAAATAAAATGCCTCATCTACTGGATCACACAGGCATTCTTATGTTACAGAGCTGTCTCCACACTCCAAAATCTAGCCTAAGCCACCCGCCTGAACCATCCCCAAATTCTACAAAAACTTGGAGAACATAATCAAATTCTGTATCATGTACAGCATTCATGACTGTCAGTATTGAATTCAAACTTGAATTCACGTACTTAGAGCTGTGAGTAGTTACAACAAATTTTGTCAGTCTTAGATGTCCCAGGAGTTGGGATGGAGTTGCAGAAAATGTCTACTACTAGAAATTGCTCTAGTTAGGACTCTTCCTCAAGCCAGAAGAAAATTTCACTATTAGAACGCATAACAGGATTTGGAAGAAAAAAAAGAAAAAAAAAGGAAGAAATACAAGAAGTTTTCATCAAATTTGAAATGGCATAGCCAAAATCTAGACACAATTCATATCCCAAGAACATTTGAATGTTTTTGTCTTGGAAGTGCGAATATCCTGGGGGCAATCCATTCATTAATGATAAAACCTTGTTAGGCAGTTATGAATGGGAACGCTTAATAGGATTCAGTATTTATTTTTAGCAAATATCACTGGTCAAAAGCAATAACCAAAAAAGACTGTTGACTTGAGATCTTCCTCCCTCTATCCCTAGATTCTCCATGTTACCCCACACCCTCCCACCTGCCCGTATTTTTTGACAAATTTTAGGTCCCCAGCACCCTCCCTACTCTCTCAGATCTGCAGCTCTGCCTCTCTATCCTGCTCCCGTAAGTTCCCCTGTCTGAGCAGCGTCTGCCTCTGGGCACTTTTACATGCTGAAAGTGATCACAAATTGTAACTGGAGGGTCTAGGGAAAGGATAAGCTGCACTGGGAGTCTAGAACTTGACCCTAGTCATGACTAAGGCTATGATGCAAGAGGTTTCATCAGAAATTATAACTTGAAGTTCAAGGGAGAGAGGCAATGTGATGAGTACTATCAAAAGAGGAGGGCAAAAAAAAATGTTTATCAAACCTCAATCTTACCCATCTTATTTATGGGCCTTACTGCAAATAAAATCTAAGAGGTTTTTCTTAAAATCTTTAAGAAATTTTAAAGGAAAATACATTACAAAATGAAGACCTGTGTCAGCAATAACTTTTATATTTTATCTTGCTCTCTACAAACAAGCCAGAAGAATGAGCTTACCTTCATCTTGTTACAGAGAAAATCTGTTTTATATCTCTCTGTCACATTGAAACTGATGAGCTAACGCATCTGACGTGATGCATAAAACATGTTGGTTTGCAGTAACACTACCTGGAGAAATGCTGAGAGCGTGAGGCCCAATTCTGCCAACAAAGTCCTGGGCACGTCTTTCATTGACTTCAGTAGGAGTAACACCTTTGAAACTGGACATGCAACTAAACCCTTACATAATTTTGCTCTAAATATGCTATCCACTGAAGTAATCTTTGTTTTTATATTGATAGCAATGGTCACAGTTTTGAATAGCAGAACAAATAAAGCAACTAATTTGATTTCCTGTGATTTAACAGAAACAGAACATTAAAACTCCTAATGTAAAGCTGCCTTCAGCCAATATTGGTACTCAGAAATCTGAAACTCTGAAGACTAATCATTTTCATTGATAGAATTTTTTTAAGTTAATAAATCTTTCTTGAAATTGTAAACTTTTTGTAAATTGTAATCTTCTTAGAAAATTTTGACTGCTTTTGCTCTGCTGTCAAGTACTAGGGAAGACTTGGGGTAAATAAAAATTGTTGGGGATCCCTATAGAGAAAAGCAACAAACAAGTTTTAATGATAACAGAATTATCTAAATGTCCATACTTCTAGCATTTTCACTTCCTCTAAATTAAGTTCCAGATCTCTCCAGTCAACTATTAATTTATGCATATGAATAATAATGCCACTACAGAAATGCTTGTCACAAACACGGACAAACAGACAAACATCAGGAACAAGTGATAGGACGAGAGGAAACGGCCTCAAGTTGCACCAGGGGAGGTTTAGATTGGCTATGAGGAAAAATTTCTTCCCTGAAAGGGTTGTCAAGCATTGGAACAGGCTGCCCAGGGAAGTGGTTGAGTCACCATCCCTGGAGGTATTTAAAAGATGTGTAGACGTGGTGCTTAGGGACATGGTTTAGCGGTGGACTTGGCAGTGTTAGGTTTACGGTTGGACTTGATGATCTTAAAGGTCTTTTCCAACCTAAATGATTCTATGATTCTACGATTCTATTCTATGATTCTAATCAAAAGAGGTGGCTACTTTCACACTGTAAAAAAATAATAGCAAAAGTCAATTTTTTTTTCCTACTTAAT